CCGTCCACCATACACCGTCGTAGAAGAAACAGATACATCGCTCTTTGAAATAAATGATTTAAGTGTCTCTACCTGCTCGTTACTCAAAGACTAAGTCTCAAAGTCTAAATGACCCAAAGTTGATGCCAAAGGCGTTTCAGACGAGCACCGTTCCTGAGCCGATGGCGTCTTTCTAGATTTCTCCATTGCTACTCTTGCACCATGTCTACGATTTTGCCTGGCTAGACCTAAAATTGTTGGGGCCAGCGATGGACCTGCTGAGGCTACAATAGATCGTGGTTAGATTGACCTGCAGAGCGGCCTTTTGCCGCTGCTACGGTTGGTCTAGACTTCTAGGCTAGTTGTGTCTGACCTTCTCCTGTATTCTGGAGGCGTGGCTTAGAGCAGAGCCTGATGAAAGGGGGTTGGGCCTAATCATGGGTTTTTTATTGTAGCTTGCTTGAACTCCACGTTCCAGGATCAACTAGTGAAGTTTGCATCTCGTAAAAGTTTGCTCTGTTCTTCACTGATGACGTGTCCAAGTAGCACTGGAAAGTGTATTCAAATTCTGCAGTTTAGTTAAAAAATGTAAAACAAACTACAAATAAATAATAGTTATTAAAAGTCTTCTTATCTTGGATTCTGTTTTTGTATCTTCCAACGGGCCATCACAGAATCACCAGCATCCCACTGGGCTTCATTCACCAGGAAGTTTCCAGAATGACCCAAAACATTCTAGTGCGTTTTCTTCTACGCAAAGCCTCTCTGATGTGACCCTGGAGTTTAGAAGGTTTGAGAGATTAGTGTCTGAAATTAGTCCTGGAGATGTCACAGGCCTGTGGAGCCCTACTCAGGTTGGTTAGTGCAAGAAAGGTGATACAGCTCTAGCCAGTTGGCTCCGACTAGTTCAAAATCCAAATTTGTGAGGAAATGATGCAGATCTTTGTACACATGACAAGTTTTTTACATAGTGATTTGAAAAGTATTGTTTTTACTCTTCAACCTCCTGTAAATCTATTGCTTCCTGTTCCTTCTGGCTATAAAACGGCAGCTGATCGACCAGAAACTGACCAAACCTCTTCTTCTCAGAACAAGAGTCTGATTTGTGCAAATGTTCATGACACAGTTTAATCACAGTGTCATAATCATGTATGAATTAGTTTGCAATGTACGCTCATCTAACTCTCAGTCTAGTCTGCTACTTCTCCAAAGTCATCTAATTCTTCACACCTCTGACCAAATAGAGAATTTAAGAACGGTTTCAGGCGCCTGTTAAGATCCTGCAGCATGAGCATGAGGCTCTGGGACTCAAGCAAGGGAGTTGAGAATCCTCGGGAAGGTTTTGAGACCTTTGGAAACTTATTTGCAAACGATGATGTCAGTGCAGTGAGATACAAGCAGTTGGGAGGGGCTTGTGGCAAAATTATGAATCAGATGAGGGTAAATTACATAATATCACTTTTTGTTCACAACCGCATAGCTTCCCACGTGAGCCGACCATATATGGACTATACTAGTATTTCTAAAATGGTATTAGTTCCAGTGCAGTGTGATCCCAACCATGCAGAATTTCTCCAGCCATCAGACTAGAGAGTGCTGTTTAGGACTGATGCACTCATAATATGTTGGTAGTTAGTAAACGCCTGTTACTCTTATCCAACATTGATACTGTGCAAACCCGTCTCACCTTTAAGTTGAGTTTCAGTTTAAAGGATCTTGTTTTGTTAAAAACAATCTGTGCCAGAGCAGAAACCGTATCTGATGTGGGTTGTTGACGAACAAAAACCAAGCTTTCTTGTTTTCGTTGACACAAAAACATCGTCAGACACTGCGACTGAGACTCAAAGTCTCAGAACAACTTTTCTTTTTCATGTTGTTCTTATGCCTTGATTTAGCGTTGTGTCTTTGTCGTGCACAGTGTGAGACAGCACAGCGATCTGTAAAGGACAGAAACGTTGTTTTAATCCGTGTTAACATGCTGCTTGTGAGCTGGATCCATTTAGAGTCTGAAACGCGTTGTTGCTGAGACGACTGCTACACACGTTCTGTGATCCATGAGCAACAGCCTCCGAGGCGATTCCCGGGGCGAAGGAAATGCCAAATCATTACTGTCAGCTTAACTTCTTGTCAGGCAGACAGTGATCACTCTGTGGAGAAGATTTCAGACAAGGAAGCTGCAAAATGTAGCTTCATGTGGTGACAGCATGTGGACAATATCAAGTCTGATGAACATGTGTTAAAAACTGTCAGGTTGTAAATGACAAGCGCCAGCTCATTGTTAGCTTCCTGCAGTTGGTTAAAACAAGTTTTAGCCGTTTTGTGGATTCCAGCCAACAATAACTCGGCGTGGTTGATAGCTGAAGTCTTGGAACTAGCCGCTTGCCAGAATACATTTCCTGTTCAGTGATCCTCAGCATCATTTTCCTACAGCGATCAAGAGTGTTGCTCAGCTCGAGATCAAGCAGTAGCTCCTGTTTAACTTTGGACTCCAGCTCTGGGCTCGTCCATCTAAAAGAAACGCCTCACATCGTGCGCAGCTGCATAAAACCCTAAACAAGTCCTTTCTACATATCTCTGATACCTTTCAGAGCCAACTATTATTGGTTATTTTTACTAATATAAGAAAATAATGAACCTGTAACTATCTTAAATAAGACGGATGCATCAAACAGTCAAGCCATAAGCTTTATTTATTAGAGGTGCTGAAAAAAATCAATTCAAGTCTGAATCGGGATTCTTATTTATAAAGATTCAGAATCGATTCACAAAGGTTCTGAATCGATTCCAAGAACTCAAATATTTGGCATGTTATAGGTTTGAGATGCACTTTTTTGATCTTTGTTTTGGAGAATTGGAATGTTTATTATGTGAAGTGCCTTGAGACGACTCTTGTCGTGATTTGGCGCTATATAAATAAACTTTAATTGAATCGAATTGAATTGAGAGTCAGTACTCCGTTTACTTTTGTGGTCCCATAAATTGAGATGATTTATGTTTGAATCTGCTGATAAGAGGGCGCTTGAATGTCATTTTTGCCATACCCAGAAATTTGAGACATTCTCATATTTATTTTCTAAGTTGATAAATGAGTACTCAGGATTACTCGTGTAACTTGTTTCTACACATACTTGAAAAGTATTTGACCGTATTACTTTCTAAGCTACTGTTAGGTAACTACAGATTTGTTATATTTTACAAGGTGAGCAAAAATAAATGTTGCCTTTTGGTCAAAAGATTGTTTCTGTTTACAGTTTTAGAATCGCTTTAGTTTACCTTGTAAATCAGCATTTTTTGGAGCATGACCAGTTTAAAGTCAAATAAAAACGTCCCATAGCTTTAACTAACGTGTACAACACAGTAGTTCATCCTGGAGCTGACACTCTTTGTTAATACTGATTGTGAATCAATTTAAATTGAGAATCAAGAATCGATTCTGAATCGAATCGGCACCCCAAGAATCAGAATCGAATCAAATCGTGAGTTGCTCTAAGAGTCACATCCCTATAATTTACGTATATTAATAAATATTGTGGTCTGGAATCTAATGAAAGTTTGTTCACTTTTTAAACATTTGCTTTATGCATCAACACCGTTGATAGTTGTAGTTTAATGTGAAGCATAAAAATATTTCTGTTTATTTTCAGGTTTCTAAAAAGTCCAAATTGAACATTTGAATAAAAGTTGGTTTTCTTATATATGAAGAAAAGGACAATAAAGTGAAAGGATTTATTCTGCTGCAGATTAGTTTGAGACTTGTCGACACTCGGCACACGAGTTCCAACGGGTGAAAGCACGTGTGTTAAACAAATCACTTCATGCAAAACCGATGACATCTGTGTGATAATGGTCACATGGTCCCACTCTAGGATCCTGCTCTTTTCTGTGTTTTATCTTCACAGATGACCCTTTTTTGTCTCTTTCTTCTGATTTGACTCACCAACCGAACAGTAAGCCGTCTTTTCTTGTAATCTTCCAGAGGATTAGTCTTGGTGGAGTTGGCTGTGATGAAGAGCAGCTTTTTGATTTGAGACGTGAAAGCAGGAAGGTGCAGCGATGTGATGCAGCAGGCTGTGAAACGAACGGTGGAAGTTCCTGATACGATCTGAACGCCGCTCTTCGTTTGCTGGGATTTGAGGTCTCGGCTCCCGTTCCCCCTTTTCACACTTTTTGAAGAGCTTCACAGAAAAGTGTGTGTGTGCTGCAGACTGTACACACACACATGCACAGATGGCAGCTGCTCAGTGCAGCCTCCGAGTGGTAATTACTGAGTGTGAGGCGCATTACTTAACTCTCAGCGTTGCAGACTACAGGATTTCTGTGTTGTTGTGAAGGAGGGACTGATTTTTAGAGAGACGGGCTGCTTGAGGTCGTGGGAACAAAGTCTGCTGTTAGACAACAGCACGGCTCGGCTAACTTGGTGTTCTTTGTGTGTTTATGGGATAGGGTCAGCTTTCTGCTGTGTTTGGAGCCCATTACGGATCGCTTCAGATTTTTTGTGTTTTTACAAGAAGCCGAGAGAAAAGAGTTACAGATGAGTTTTTAGAGTTTTACTGTTTATGCTCTGGATTCATGTTCGTAGTAAGATAAATACAAAAGCTCAGACTGGGTAAGTTTAGACTTTTTAACTTCTGTTACTCTTGACTTCCCAAAACATCTTAGAAATACTGGTTATGTTGAAATAAAGATAAGCGTCCCGTTCTTACTGTTTGGTTTCTGATCCGCCCAGCGAACTGCCCTCGGTCCGTGCACGAATCATCGGTTCTGTAGAGCAGCCGAAGAGGAAGTGAAGCCAGGACCAGGCTAACGATTAGCTAGCATACTGTTATATGGGTGCAGCACACTGGGAATCATCGCAGAAAGGATTGGGTTTGCGTTGTTTGACAGAATCCGTTGTGTCCAGCATTCTCCTGCATTCTGGAATCAGTTCCTTTCTGTGTCTTTGGTTTTACTCATCTCTCATTCTTCACTGATTCAAACTTAGAACATCCAACGCTTCATAACGGGCTGAATCCTCATTCCAGATTTCCTATCATGGGGGTGGAGAGGGAGGGGAGAGCGATGACTCAGAGGGTGAGAACCAGGAGCTGGCTCAGATTGACAGAGGTATTCGGCCATCTTTATTAACGATTTATACACACCAGCCTGTTCTTTTCCTGTGATAATTCTTGTTCGTTAACCTCTCCAGAGAGACGGAGAAATTGCGCCCTGACCCCTTTGGCCACCAGCCAGCAGCATAACCAGGGCCCTCTCTCTCCTGCCCGGTTACGGCGCCTCCGCCTCCTTTTAGACTCTAACCTGGACCGTCACTCGTCAGAGGAAGAACTGGAGCGAATCAGCTGTGGCGACAGCAGGAAGTGGATGTCCACGTGCCACAACGATCACCACAGCAGCGCCTCAAGTGATGAGGAAGTTCGGGACCTCTGCGGCTGTAGGTCACCTCCTGCCTCAGTCAGGCCGCTGGTGGAGCCCGGCGCCTGCCTCGCTGCGTCTCCCAGCCCCATACTCTTCAGTTCCAGCCCTCCACGTAACCTCAAGCATCCTCCAATGAGATTTCAACTTCAGGTGGTTCCGCCTATCACACGGCCCATCATTCTGGCCCACTTTGACCAATCAGCACCTTACAGGAAGTATCGACACAGCTACAGCGGAGAGCCCGGGAGACCCAGCCTGGATCTGGAAAAGATGCAACAGGTTAGTTCACGCTTGAGTATAAAACAGCAGCTGGTAAGTGGCGGCTGTGGAGGTTTCCATGGAAGGAAGGCATCAAGGGTGTAAAAGGAATTCAGTTAATCTAAATAATAAAGATGTAGATGGGATCAGAGTCATCTCCAAACCTGAGACCTTTGTTCTCATCTGGAATAAGATGAGTCTTAAACGGACAAGCGATGGTAGGATGGAGTGTGAGATTGACCAATGGATCAGGGCTTCCTCTACAACCATGGATCTGAAACAAAAGGCTCTTGATTTACTGCTCCGCCTACATTCATGCTGTCACCAATAGTTGTTAGATTTTAACTTTGACCAAAAGAAATAGATCGAGGCATGAAGCAGCGTCCCCTGTCGGGTGTCCAGGCTCATCCTTGGAGACGAGGTGAGGAGCTCCATCGACTGATTAAGACTTTTCTCTGGATTTCAGAGAAAAAATTATTCTTATGGTAATGGTAAATGGTCTGTATTTGATAAAGCGCCTTCTAGAGTCCTGGAACCCCCCAAGGCGCTTTACAACACAATCAGTCATTCACCCATTCACACACACATTCACACACTGGTGGGGATGAGCTGATGTAGCCACAGCTGCCCTGGGGCGCACTGACAGAGGCGAGGCTGCCGAGCACTGGCGCCACCGGTCCCTCCGACCACCACCAGCAGGCAACGTGGGTTAAGTGTCTTGCCCAAGGACACAACGACAGCGACAGACTGAGCGGGGCTCAAACCTGCAACCCTCCGATTACGGGGCGAGCACTTAACTCCTGTGCCGCCGTCGCCCACGGTGACCAAAAATGTAGCTGCAGGTTTGGAGGTTTATATGTTTGTGCTTTTTAAAACTTAATTCTCAAAATGTAACTGTAGCCTGGAAAGTAAACGATTAGAATCCATAACTTTTGTATTTAAATGTAGTCTTTTTCTCTGAGTTTCACATGCAGGCGGTCTTCAACCCCCTTTTCTTGCTTTAGCCACAGAAAGGAAAACAATCAGGTCAGAAAAAGCCCGTCTCTTCTACGTCACAGGGGCTATTAGTATTCATAGCTCCACCCACCTTGGCTTGGCCCCGCCTCTGGGAAGGAAAGAGGAGAGCACATCTCAGCTATTAGAAGCCATTAGCATTAGCAACTACACAATATGGTGGGTCACCTTCAGGCTTGTGTTATTGTGGGGATAAAACATCAACGTTGCATTATTTACCCGAAGGTTGCTGTGAAAGCTTTAGCTTAAGCTTAGCGTAGCTTTTAACTGATTACTATCACTTTTAAAATTGTCGTCGTCGTCTTCCTCCACTTATCCGGGTCGCGGGGGCAGCATCCCAACTAGGGAGCTCCAGACCGTCCTCTCCCCAGCCACCTCCACCAGCTCCTCCGGCAGGACCCCAAGGCGTTCCCGGACCAGATTGGAGATGTAACCTCTCCAACGTGTCCTGGGTCGACCCGGGGGCCTCCTGCCGGCAGGACATGCCCAAAACACCTCCCCAGGGAGGCGTCCAGGAGGCGTCCTGACCAGATGCCCGAACCACCTCAACTGACTCCTTTCGATCTGGAGGAGCAGCGGTTCTACTCCGAGTCCCTCCCGAATGTCCGAGCTCCTCACCCTATCATCCGCGATCTTGTTCTTTCGGTCATTACCCAAAGCTCATGACCATAGGTGAGGATTGAGACGTAGATGGACCGGTAAATCGAGAGCCTGGCTTTCTGGCTCAGCTCCCTCTTCACCACGACAGATCGGCTCAGCGTCCGCATCACTGCAGACGCCGAACCAATCCGCCTGTCGATCTCCCGATCCCTCCTACCCTCACTCGTGAACAAGACCCCGAGATACTTAAACTCCTCCACTTGAGGTAGGACCTCTCCCCCGACCCGGAGTTGGCAAGCCACCCTTTTCCGGTCGAGAACCATGGTCTCAGATTTGGAGGTGCTGATGCTCATCCCAGCCGCTTCACACTCGGCCACGAACCTACCCAGCGAGAGCTGAAGGTCAGAGCTGGGTGAAGCTAGGAGGACCACATCATCCACAAAAAGCAGAGACGAGATTCTCCTGCCACCAAACTCGACACTCTCCACACCACGGCTGCGCCTAGAAATTCTGTCCATAAAGGTAATGAACAGAACCGGTGACAAAGGGCAGCCCTGGCGGAGTCCAACCCTCACTGGGAACAGGTCCGACTTTTTTATTGTCAGACTGTTTTTAAAAATCTAGGGATGGGAGGGAATGTGGGGCCTTTTTAATCTGTTAAGCACTTTGAGTTGCATGCATTGTATGATTAAGTGCTATATAAATAAAGTTTGATTGATTGTGAAAACTTCTGATTTGCTGTTAGCCAATCAGGTGAGACATTTGCATATTATTATTATTAATGAGTAAGAATCCAAATCCTGCCGTTTTATGGCCCTCTTGATTCCTCTGACCTTTAACCCCCTAAAACAGGAGCACAAGCACTCTTCCCAAGGAATCCATTCATTCTAGGGACTGCAGCAAACGTACTGAATAATCGAGTGAACGAGATCTTTGAAGTGCGTCGACGTTATGAAGACCATATTCCAGCCATGGGCGTTAGATGGTCAAAAATATCAGAACCAGGCTCAAGTGCTTTAGCGCTTTAGGACCTGATGAATTACCCTGAGAGCTTTTGTCGTTTAATCTGACAACACTGTAGTTATTGTACGAGGAAGACCACCTCAGGCTCCTGGGTGAATCAAACCGGGCTCTCAGTTTGGGGATTTGGTCCAAAAACACAATGACCACTCAAACACGCACATGGCTGCACAGAATCTAAACGGAGTCCTCCTCCTCCTCCAAAGCCGGACGCTCGCCTCCTCGGAGGTCCGGCTGGAGAGGGATGAAGGAGAGGGAGGCACGGACGGCAGATGTCCGCCCTCATTTCTCACAAAGGCTGCTGAGCGAGGGGAAACGTTGGAGGGGTGGAGGCAGAAGGACTGGATTAAATAAACAACAGAAAAACGACAGCCACTAATGAGCGCCAGAGAAGCTGCTCCACTAATCAGTCAAATCCAATAGACCTGTTGGCCCGCTCTGGACATGGAGAGTGTGAGAGGGAGACAAACCGCAGGGTTCAGGGGTCCATATGTCCACGAGGTTTTTAGAGGGAAAGAGCAGATGATGAGGGACAGCCGGCAGCAACAGTGTGTGTGTGTGTGTGTGTGCATCCTTTTTTTGCTGTATCAGTGTGTCTGTGTATGTGAGAGCGTGTGCACGCTCAGTCAAGTGGAATGGGAGGTGCTGCCTGCAGGAATACAAAAGGGGGCCTGCAGAGGTAGCGAGCAGACACAGCCGGAGTTTCCCATCAACCCTTTCACTGAAAACCTCCCAGTGATGTCTTCAGCAGACTCCCACCGGATGTAAACACCAAAAAGGTCATTTAGAGGCGTTAAACTCAAGGAAAGGATGTGTCAGAGACGAGCCTTTTGCAGAAATGATCATTAAAGTGAGAAGAGAGAAAACGTTATAATACGAACGCGTGTTGTATCCAACCAGTAACCGGTACAGGAGCTCCCCAGTGAGACCACTTAGACCTAGAGCTGTTCTCTTCTACGTCTCATCGTTTCGTTGAACACAGAGGTTAAAGGGTCAGCGAGTTGCTTTCTTTTAGTCCCTGCTAATCCCGTCATAATCCACGTCACAGATGAGGCCATCTTTTGGAGGAATCATCTCAGAGGAGCAACAGTTTGCACGACAGATGCTGCTAAGGGCTGCTGCTTCTCAGGTGTTCCTAGAGCCTGTTGGCAAACATATCAACCGGTTTTAGGACGTCCCGTTAATCTGTGACACATAAAAATGCAGCAGATGGAAGAGATGAACCAGACGACTGGGGCAATAGATCGTTTCTTAGGTTTCTTAGCCGCCTTTAATTAAAAATTTCGCCACCAGCTGCTCAGCTAGCAGCTATCATTTGATCAGCAGGATTTTGTGCCTCCTGCTGACTCACACTGGGAGTAGGATGTCTGTATTTTTGTGTTAACGTTTAAGCAGCCGGCTGTCAGAGGGACTGCGGTGTCACTGATACAGAAAAGATCAGGGCGGGCGGGAGGTGAGCACGAGGGCAAGCACACCGCAGCTCTGCCCCGCACCACAGCAGCAGGAGTCTTGTGTTTCCTGTCTTTCCTGCACTCTTTGGAAGCTGCCTCCCCAAGTTGAGACAGTTGGATGATTGTGTGGTCCCTCCGCCCCCACGGCGTGTTTTTTATGATGAGAATGGTGAATCTGCGTGGACTTTGAGGGGAGTGGGAGACAGGATGTTGCATAAGCTTCAGTGTTTAGTTCAGTCAGAAAGCTGGATTTGCCTCCTTTCCTTTATCGTCTTGATTCTCTATGTTGTGATGTTAAAATATCACATTTTAAAAGCTGAAAATAGTAAGATGTGGATGTATTTTGCACTTTAAAGCAGAGTTTTATGTAGACAAGAGCTAGAAGGTTTCGTAATGTGATGTCTACATAAAAATATTTAAGCTAGCTACAAGAACAAAGGTCCAACCCCTATTCTTCAGCCTCCTTTAGGCAGAATCTGTTGGTTGCAGAAAATAGTATAACACCAGAAGCGACGGGTCCTGTCTAACGTTAACGGTATCTTACCTTTTCGACCTGTTTTGGCACTTTTCCGCCATAACTCCTAACATAACACACCTACGTAAGCGCCATGGAGGCTCCAGGCGTCTGGCGGGCTCCTCGTAGTCCGGTGCCGGTCAGTTCTCCAGACTGGGACCCGGATCAAAGATCTAGCGGGGAGGACTGAGCTTGTTACTCTGTAAACCTCGTCCGCTACTTCCCCCCGGGCTGCGTAACAGTCAGAGCACATCAGAACACCTCAGAAGTATTGCCCTAAAAAGACTCGTGTTGTTGTTTTTTTATTGCATGTAAACATGTTAGTCTGGCTGAAGGCGAACTGGTTCTAATCGAGCTGAAGCACCCAGATCAGAGTTTCCCCCAGAAAATGAGTTAAGCCTGGCGGATTCGGCCGTCAGCTCCGTCCCGCAGCGCTCCTCCGTGAGAGCGGGGGTGGGGGGTTGCACACGTTCCGCTGCTGTTTCTCGCCAGTATCAGCTGATGGAGGGCTCTAGTTTCGCTTCGTCGTTCGTGTCAGCGGACACGGTAGGGTCGGTAAGGGGGGCGGGGCATGACGCTTAGCCTGACAGGTGGCCAAGCAAAGCCTGGCGGGCCGCCAGGCTTATAAAGCGCTGGGGGAAACCCTGCAGATATTCCGGTAGCAATCTGATTACATCCCACATGTAAACGGGTCAGCCGGACCAAACCGGCAGGACGCCCACGCTCCAGAAGTGACGAGCCTGCGGAAGCGGCCTTCTGACAAGACCGTCGTCACAAAGCTACACGCGTAACACCATAAAACAGGACAGTAGGTACCAGATGCTGCAGCGCTGTTGTTGTGCATGTCCTGTTTCAGCTCCGTCTGCTTCCCTCCCCAGCCTCTGTTCACTGCTTGCGTTGCTATAAGGTAACCGGAAGAATGCCAACATCAAAAGGGGCGTGTCGCCACCTACTTTTGTTGAGGCCGCTTTTCTAATTCACATGCAAACTTGGATAAAGACTCCCAGCTTATTACAATAAAATCAACCTGGATCGGCTTAGTGTCGGTGCACGATTAACCGCACTGAGTGTAACAACTTAGCAAGCTAGCTAATATAGCTAGCCCAGCTTAGGCTTCACTTCCTGTTCAGCTCTTCCAAGCCAAGAACACGTGATTTGTGCTTAAAGAGGGGTATGCGCAGAGGGGGGAGGGGCAGTCAGAGGGTCATTTGATGGATCAGGATCCAATCACGTAAAACGGGACATTCATAATGATTGGATGAGGTTTTTTAGGAATGCACGTTTCAGAGGTGATTACATTTATTCATTTTAATGACTAAACATTTAATTTATTTGTCAGCAGAATGCGAGGAGCATTTCAAACAATATGGCAAAAATGCTCCTGAGAAACATTTTCTACTCAACCTTTAATCCCTTATCTGAGTATTGCACAATCAGTTTATGTGTATTTAAGAGCAAATCCTGCTTGAAACAGTTGTTAAAAACAGATGAAGTAAAAGTAAAGTGCACATCCTGCAGATTCACTGACGCTATTCATTCGTTTTAGACCACATTGTGATTAAGTTGACGTTTTCACACAGTTCCTGCTGTGAAATGACTGAGTTTGTGTTGCTTCTGCCGCTCGTGCGCCTCCTGATTTTTGTAACCTGTCGCACGGCGTGTCAGTGGCCCGTTGTAAAACAGGAAGAGCAGCAGGGCAAGGTTTATTTCTCCAGGCATCTGTACAACTGAGCAAGTCCCAGCTCTGATGGCTTACTGCAAACATTTGTGACCATAGTGTTCCTGCTGGGCTTCCCCTGTTCCAGTCTAGTTTGACGTTACTGAAGATTTCACGTGCAATCACACACGGAGCTTTTTTAGTTCCTGGAAACGAGCTTAAATGACCTGAAAACCTTCTCTTCACAGAAAATGCTGCTGAAGAAGAACGGCGGCGGGAAAACGCGGACCATGAAGATTCGGGTGAGTTTATTCGTCATTCAACACAAATGTTGGTAATTGTGAAGTGGTTTACATGTTACAGCATTTATCTGCAGAATCACACACATTTCACACTGATGATGACATGGTTCTGTCTACGTAGATCTGGTGGTAAAATTAAAACCGTTATCTGAGGATCCGGTTCACATGACATCTGATAAACTTCAGCCAACACAAAACTGACTAAAATGTGGGACATTTAGAAAGATATTGAGCTAAAATGTGATGTTAGTTGCTGAGAGTCACCATATAGGACCAGGTTTCACACAGAAGCCCTTCCTGGACCATCCGACAAGCTCTTTAGATACAAGCTGAAGATTCAAAAGTCACTTTAGTCTAAAATGATTCATTTCACGGTTTGTTCCTGCAGACCAAAAGCCCTCGCCACTCAGGGAGTCTAAACAGAATATTGACCCAAACAAGTCCTTATAATCTCACAGGCTGCTCATCAACTGGACCGCTGCACCTGCCGTCGATCCTCCAGTTAACAAGACCACACCCGTAGCCAGGTGAACACCTTCAGTTCACTAGAGAGGGCGTTTTGGCCTGAAGAAGTGGTCAAACCTAAAGAAACTGAATAACAAAGTCATGAAAAGCAACTTAATTCAGCGCAGCCACTTGCTTAAAGGGATACTTGGCAACTTTTTTCTCATTTTTAATCATTTTCTTGAGCCAGTGCTAAAATGATCCTAAGGAAAGGTCACCCAGCTCCTGTCGCCCCCTGTGGCCAGAATGTTCCACTTGCATCTTTTGGGTGGACATACCTGGCGCTGCAGCCTGCTTCCAGCACGTTTTGGATCACGAGCACAGCTGATTAGTTTAATTTAGTGATGAACCGATCCTGTGGACGCTTAACGAAGGCTGGGGAGATATTTCAGCTGTCAGATGAAGGTGTTAAAAAGACGAATGCACAGTGAGGAGAGTTTTGCTTTCGGTTCTACAAACGAACACTAGGGGGTGCTAAAAGCAAGCCAAAACTGCCTAGTTCTCCTTTAAAGAAATGAGCGAAAACATTGTTTAAAATTTATTTTAACAAAGCTGAGATGTTGTTGCTTGTTGTTAATGAATCCAAAAAGCCTCCTTTAGTTTTGGAACGTTTTCCGGGACTTTTCCCGTGAAAACAGGAATCTGGTCAATCTGTAGTGAGGGTGGATCGTTGTTCTGGTGGTCTAGAAGGTTTCTGTCCATGGAATAACGTTTCTAACAGCAGTTTTTGCTTATTTTTCCTCAATGAGCTTTTTTTGCTCCAAAGTTTGTTTTCAGCTTTTGAACTCGCCACTCTTTTTCAAAGCGATCCCTCACTTATGAAGCCAGCGTCGGATTTAACCAGGTCGTACTTTTGTGCTCTACTTTTATTCTCTCCTTGTCTCAGAGAAGCTCAGCTATAATAAATGTGTGATGGTCTAGTTGTAATGAAATCATGATCCTGAAACGGCGACGTGATGCCGTCCTACCATCAGTACTGATCATGAGAACAGTTGAACTTGTTCATGGCAGCATTAATGAGCTTTACAAAGAACACAACCAGCTTATTAGGTTGTGAATAATTAAATACCTGCAGCTTGTTCCAGCTTTCATAGGCAGCATCTCTTTAACTGCAGGCGATTTTCTGTATGAAAAAAATGTATCTTAAAAAACAAAGTCGTGATGTTGAATGAACACTGAAGGAAGCGGTGCACTCGGAGCTGCCTTTAGGCAGAATCAGGGCGTCCATGATGGATGAGGTTGCTCGGTCGCCCTGCGAACAGCCAGGCCGGTCCTGCGGCCAGCACCTTGATCTCCATCCAAATGCATGCTGGGACGGCATCTGGCTACGGCGTTTGCTCCCGCGCCCTGCTGGCTGTAGAAAATCACAGTTTTATTTTTCTGCAGCGATACCAGTAAACTTTGTGTTTTTGAAGTTTATCCCGTTCAGTAATTAGGCTGCGTAATTATTCAAATTTGTATCTGAACTTTGATTTTGTCTCTAAATGTTTACTGGAACAAACAGTCTAGGTCTCATTCTGTCGTCCATCCGTATCAGAGCTCTAGTCACACCTTTGGGGGTTAATTTGATTTAATTTAGGTTTTGTTTGAGTATTAAAAATAAAAAGCTAAACAGTAAATTAGCATATATTTACTCTCTATGTAAGATGCTGAAAAATCTGGAAAACTCACCCTAAAAGTGCTCAAATGAGGTTTTTGCATCTTGTTACTAATATGTTCCTAAAAAGGCCCGCGCCCCAAACTGTACTTGAATTTTTGATCATCACATATTTATAATATGCCCAATATGAATCAGAAGTAGGTCTTTTTTCCATCCTTGAGCCACCCTACTTGGTCATGTTTCTTCGCTCGGCGATCATCCGTCAGTTTGGCTGGTTTAGTTTGAAGGAAAGCCGGCTGGATCGAGCCTCGGCAGCTTGGCGCCGCACACGCCGCTCCAGAAGGACGCTCAGTGTGGTGAGAGGAGTGACGTTATTATCACGTTGTGTGGGATAGTGTCAGCGGAACCGTGTCACACGCTTGTTTGTGTATACACACCAACTGTAGCAGCGTGCACGTTGCCTCCGTGCACACATGGAAGGTCTTTCTGTGGAGTCAGAACCGAGGGTGATCTCTGGGTAAGTGGTGATGAGAGCAGAGGAGGTGGAGGAGAGAGGAGGAGGTGGAGTGAGTGCGGCTCCCTTGTGCTGTTTTTCCGGGGATGGAGTCATTTTCCATTTATAGCCCGGCCGGCTGCGATCTGAAACATACAAGTATTGCTCATTATCTCTGTTCCTGCTGGTGGTGGTGTCCCCGTCAGTGACATCCGCAGGCTTTGGGCTTGTTCCAGCTTTTAGATTTTTCTTGGAATGAGCACACAGTGGGTCTTGTGAGTCGTTTGGAAGCCAGACTCGGCTCTTTACTCTTTGTGTCACTGTTGTGCACACCTCTCCCTCCCTCTTTATCTGCAAATCCTCGGTTTCCTGGCCTCAAACCAGAGGAGAAACTGGGTCTGATGGGGTTTCAACACTCCAGTAGAGGCGGGTTGCAGGGGTCAAGGATGTAGAAGTTCACACGGCAGGATAATTATGCAGATCTTTGACCTAAAGATATCTTATCAGATATTCCTACTGTGTGTGGTGTGCTAAGAGTGCTCTGGCCACTCAGGCCATAAATGAGGAGAGGGTGCTCGCTGCAAAACTACAAAGGCGGAGCTGCACCAGTCAGCCCCGCCCATTCAGGCAAACTCAGCCTAGCCCACTGACTTCCATTTTTGTTTTTCAACTTTATCGCAAACTAACCTGACCCACATGAATTACGGCTGTTACTAGTTTACAGTCGTTAATACTATGTTCTATGCTCCAATTAAACAAGATAAATATAACTTGCTACATGACAAAGCCTGAATATATCCCGAAATGAAAAGGTTTCTTTTAACGAATATCTGCCCATAGCCGCTCCAACAAAATTGACGTACAACAGCATGTGAGAATAATGCTTAGGTTCTGGTAGTCCAGTGGTAAGATCGGCTGAATTTAGTTTTGCTTTCCCCTCAGCTGATGCTGGTTCGATTCTCGGTGGGGTTGGCAACAATCTGTTTAGCCAGCTGAAACATTTAATTTGTTTATATTTTAGTTGTAATGTTTATTTTCAGCAAAATATTTATGTCTCTAAAAGTTATTTGAACTTGGTCGTTCCTAAACAGCATTTTAGTTGAAACTCTGCTCACAGATGGACTCACACTGGCTAAATAAACGAATAAATAAATGAATAAACACATTAGTCATTACATGTTAAATGGTATACCAGTAAATTGTTGTAAACATAGTGCTGGCAAGTGTAGCTAGAAATGAAGAAAAGGGATTTTCAAACAACCTTATAATTCCGCTACTGGGAGGCAAACCTGCGCAATTCTGCATGTCAACCTGACTCCATAACCACTACACCACCACATCCGATAGTAAGCAAGCGGCGTTACATGTAATTGCTCTACCTAGTGTGTCATTGTAGATGGGTTGTATGGTTTATTGGCGGTGTCTCAGTAGAAGTAATTTCAGAAATAATTTGTTAGAAAATTCACAGACTATCCAGATTTGAGAACCAAGACCAGACCCGCTTCGGGGGAGGAGACCAAATTGAAGCTGAGATGGGAGGAAAATGCACGAATGAGGCCAAAAATGGCTTTGGCGTGTTTCTTATGAGGAAATGACAATATAACATGATAAAAAGTTCAAAAAGTTAGATTTTTAATTATATGGAACCTTTACAAAAACTGTTCAGTTAACCTCTCAACTCCGTCCTCAATCTTGCATTTTTTAGCCATAACACCCTCTTTGGTTCCAGAATGCTATCAAGTCTGACAACTGGAAGGAATTGGACTGACTCTGATGGAATGGGCGGGGCTGATTCTGGAATGGGCGGGGCTGATTCTGGAATGGGCGGGGCTGACTGGTGCAGCTCCACCTTCTGGTGCAGCTCCGCCTTTGTGGTTCTGCAGCGAGCACCACTTGTAAATGGGGTGTATTCGAGGCCACACGAGGGTGCCGCGCCCTACTGTAGGACCCTCTGTCTTTTACTATCACACGTGGGGTCTCATGTTTTTAAAATCGTTCAACAATTTAAAAGTCCTGCCGTGTGCAGCGGGCCTAAGCAGTAGGAAAACACTGATCAGTTTTCTGCTCTACGAGGCTGGAGGAGCGTCAAAGGCCTCGGCAGACAGACGCGATGGAGATTTGTTTCGGCCACTTGACGGTCGTGGATTGAAGAGGGTGAAGATTGATTGAAGTGATGAAATAGTTTGGAGTATACTTTGGTTCCTGTTGGGGTTAACCACAAGGATGTGATGTAGAGAAACTCAGCTCCAGCTGGACAAACGTGCACTTTATTTATGTTTAGTAGAACGGCGTGTTGAGATCGTTCTGAGGCATTCTCACCATTTCCCCTTTTTCAGCCTGCACCACTTTCATTTAAGAGGTGATTAAAATCATCTCCAGATGCAGTAGAAACCTAGAATTAGCTACTGCCTGCTAAGTCTTACCGCCTGAAGCAAGGGGAGCTTCGGAAGCTAGATTTACAACCTGGAAGACCTCATTCTGAAAAAGAAGCTCCTGACATAAACAAGGTCAACCCATCTGTTACCAGTGGTGATGTTTTCAAACCAGGGCAGCTAGTGGTCCATCCACCTCCCACCAGTTATCTGATGTTGGTCCGAGAGGGAAACCCAGCCACTCCTCCCCCTCTAGCTGGTCTATAAGCTTTACGGATCGGTCCGTCCACATGAAACTCGTTCCGTCAGTGATGTTTGATACCTATCTACGGAGGAGGATTGGGATTAGCCACTAAAAATAAATAACTTGTGGATAAAAACTCTGAAATTAAAGTCAGAAATATATTTTTCCTTTTCTGAAAAAATCTAATATGAGAAGTTTGTTGAAGTTTTTGGGGAAAAAAAATCTTTTTTCTTCCATGATTGAGTTTTGGGATTATGAAAGAAGAAAACTTTAGGAAAAATAAAGATTTTTTTAACGGGATGTTGGTATTTGCAGAAAAGAAACAAGAAAAACAACAAATAGTTAGGGGGTGATGGTGGCACAGGAGTCGAGTGCTTGCCCCGTAAACAGAAGGTTGCATCTTAAAGCTCGGACGTTCTGCTGCTGCTTCCTCCAGGACTCTGGTTTCCCTCGTCTCCCTTCCACGCCGGTTTAAATCAACATCAGTACACGACACGGCTCTAAGTGGTTTGGGGAGTCGTTGCTGAGTTACCTCAGCTCATTTGTCAGCGCCGGACCTCTGAAGATGCTGACTGAAGTCAAAGCAACACCTGTGGCCTCCCTACTAACCCGCACTGCCAAATGCAACAAAGTCATTTCCTGTCGTTTCCTGTGGGGCGGAGAAAGACTCGGGCTAATTTTAGACAAGGGCAGCGGAGGGGAGCGAGGGGTGTCTTTGCAAGTGGAAAAGCATTTATAGGATGTCACTGACATGGCGGCTAGAACCACACACGTGAAAATGTTTGTTTTTTCCTGTGGTGTGTTGTTTTGTCACTTCTCTGGCAGCATTGTGGGAATTGGTTTTTTGCCATTAAAAGGAAAAACTTGCTTTTTGTGCCAACAAGTCAATTTTCCTTTTCTTTCCTTTCTCAGAACCTGACCAGCAGCCGTCCTACACCCAGGTACACGCACGACCCGTCCAGCTTCGCCTTCCGCTCCCTGAGCACAGCGCCGCCCTGCAGTCCCCTCGCTGCGTCCGAGGACCCTCTTTGCTCTTAAGTGAATGTCCCTCCCCCTGCCACACGCTGGCTCAACACCTCCTCGATCCCAGCTGGCTGCTTTTTTTGTGGCTTTGGAGCAAGTTCAGAAAAACAGACAATAAAACTGACCGCTGGGAAGTCATTTGAACTGTTGCACTCTCAGGTAATCCCTCCGTCTCTTTGACCACTGCAGAAATCAGAAGCGTTTGGAGAAAAACACGATTCCCTAGCTAAAGCTTCCCATGGGTGTTCGCTGTACGTAAAGCACTAACAGGAAGTTCGTATTGAGGAGAATGATGCATGTTAGACAATCAAGTGGTCCCAGGGTTTCCTCCTTTGCCACTCCCTATGTCAACAAGGCGAGCGAGTCACCCACTACCGTACTGTTTAAAACAAGACCGCTGTGGCATTTATCTGTCTGAAAACTACACCTATGGAGGTGTTATGCTATAAGGTCCAGCTATATTAAACGGATGAGTGTAGGGGTCACTTGTAGTTCAGGTCAGAATGATCCTCTCTATGTTTTGCATGAATTCCACTTTTGCGCAGAAAGACCTGTGGAACGATAATGAGCGTAGTTTGCAGCACTTTTGGCTAAACGATGTTGATAGCCTGTTCGTAGTGTGCCATTTATATGTGACTCAACGGGCTGGTCTAGCTCTGGCACGCCAGTGTCTGACGTTCTCTTAATGCCTTGAGCTGACATTCCTGTTGTATTAAAGTCAATGGCAGGTACTTCTCAGCTGCTGAGTTCAGTAAACACAACGCCGCCACTGTAACTAAGATTTAGCCGAACTGAATGTAACTTTGTGACTTCAGTTTTTGTCCTTTGTTGCACAAAGAAACAAACGAATAAATTTGCTGTGGCCTCTTGTCGATGAAGTGATTTTATTTGGGAGACTTTTGTTCTTGCATCTTAAACGTGCACGTTCTGTTTTTCTTCATTTATAACGACGACGGTTTGGCGCTTCAGGATTAAAGGGGCAGTATGTAGGATGTGGTAACATCTGGAGGTAAAACTGAAGACTGCAGCCAACTGAAGAGGCCCTCTGCGTCTCCATTTTTATCTTTTCCACTTTATTCCTAGACCCCATGGAATAACCCAACCCAACCCTTGCATGAGATGTGCGTTCAACTTCCGGTCCAGCGTTCATTTCCATGGAGACCATAGATGGATGATGCGTTCGGTTCATGCTAATCCACTCTTTATGAGCTTTTTAAGAGACGTAAGCCATGTTTGAACACCAGCTGTCACAGCTCAAACAGGACACCGTTGGGACAATGATCTTAAAATCTGGCCAAAGCTAACATACAGTAGCAGTTTAGCTACTTCCTAAACGCTGTCGCGCCTGACGGCGAGGCAATGACCAGTCTTAAATGCGCCGAAGCTCATCAGTACCGACATATTAATAAGGTTGCTCGTGTTTTGTTAAAGTAGAACACACCTCGTTTTGTAAGCCAGTGGCTGTGCGCTACTTCTGGTATCTCATTGGATGTTGGGCTGCATGGTGGCGCAGTGGTTAGCACTGTTGCCTCGCAGCAAGAAGGTTGCAGGTTTGAAAATCGGCAGCGGCCTTCCTGCGTGGAGTTGCGTGTTCTCCCCATGCATGCGTGGGTTTCCTCCGGGTACTCCGGTTTCCCACACAGATCACAACACGCCCTACAGGTTATAAACTGTACGTCGCTTTGGATAAAAGCGTCTGCTAAGTAAATAAACATAAACATCATCGTGTCTACACGAGCCTGCCCAGGCATCAGGTGGATGGCAAACTGGAGATGATTACACGACTGTACAGAAATCAAACTCACATTAAAGAGCAAGTCACTCCAAATCAACATTTTTTTTGCTGATAAACTATATAAATGAGTGTCAGATCGTGCTGCAGACACGTGTAGTCAGTAATTCGGCACTTTAGTGCATCTTAGTTAAAATTTAAATATTCTGCCTAAAACTGTCAGTGCTGCACCGTCATCAGGTAAAAACTCAGCACGGCATTTGAATTTAAATCTGCCGTCGCTATTGGCTAAGAGGTACACTATGATGTTAGATGGTACATTATGATGTCACAATGTCGTGAGTGTGTGTATTTGTTAGCGCCTCCACCCTCTCAGTCTGCTAGGCAACAGCATTTGTTTCATTTTTCAAACAGGAAGTGCGAGTTGAGTAAGAATGTGGTAGGGGGTGACTTGCTCTTTAAGTAAAGGTTTTCTGGCAAGACAACATCTAACTGTTCAGATTTTATTGGTCCAATGCACAGATGCTTTTACAGAGAGTCTCAGGGGCAGTCAAAGGGCCACAAGCGGCCCCCGGTCCTCATTTCACTGATCTGTTAAAGCAGAAATCTTTAAAGCTTCTTTTTAATTTCTACATATTTTCTTTCCAAACATCCCTCATTTCTGGAACTTGCCTTTTCTAATCCTAGCGGCACATTTCTCACTAAAATGTTACAAGAAAATGTCTCCTGGGAATCTGGCATCAATAACTGATTTGGATCAGTTTGAATCGCAGAGTGGTGGGAACCGCCTACTGGGTGACAGCGCAAAGGAGTCGTCAGTTATATAAACCATCAAGGTTTTCTGGGTCTCTTCTTCTGTGAGTCTTACAAAGACTGTTCCTCATCTCTACCATTATTGTGCCGAGTTTGGGCCGCATACCAATCATCTCATAATACTTTTTGCCCAAACTGAGCACTAGGGACGTTAGAGGGAGTATTTCTCGTTAGCTTCCCTTTACTGCTGTAGAAATGGAATGCAGCCCTTATTTTTTCCCCTGTGCCCTACCCTTTTCTACTCTTCTGATCTTTTCTGTCATGAACTAGACATATTCTCCTTTTCTCCTAACTGAGGCTGTTCAAAGAGATGCCTGTAATACGTAATGTTGTTCACAACCCTTATGGAGGCAGATCAGATCCAGACATGCTTTCCAGCAGCCCGTAGAAACTTCCAGCAACTTCCCAGACGTGTAACAATTTTATTATTCAACAAAATACATTTTACATTTATTGTGTTACGAAACCAAACAGGAGACGGAGGGAAGTGAGCGAGATGCTTCAGGAACAAGAAGCAGAAGATATTTCCCAAAAAGAATCCTGCTTGGAGTTAACACACACCGAGCGCTCACCAAGGCAATCTCGTTAAAAAGAGAACTTTGGGCAGTGTGTGTGTGTACGTGCGCGGTCACAAACACACTCCACTTAGCTTGAGTCATTATCAGCTTACGTTTCATCCAGTACTCCATCCAAGTGTCCAGATGGTCAGAAAAGCTGCTTGAATGCTTTCCCTCCCTGCTACAATTCCCTCCTTCAGAGGAAAAAAGGAAAAGGTGGCGGCAGAGAGGATGCTGCTGAGATGAAACAAAACGACTCCAGCGCTCTCCGTCGAGGAGCAGGACGAGTTCTAACATCGTGTTCTCTCTTTGTCACAGTCTGAGACATGATGCGGAGATGTAGGGATGAGATGGGACGATGAGAGCAAGTAGAAACCGATCTGCGGTGTCCCTCCTCAGTAGCCGTATCTGTCGTTGAGGTGAGTGCGGCCGTCTCCAGTCTGACCTACGAGAGCAGAGATGTGGACAACGTAAGAACCAGAGCAGCAAGAGCTTCCATGAAATCTCAGACTCAGGTTCATCTCGTCACCCTGCAGTGACTCTGATCTGCACTGCTGTGAACAATAAAAACGCTCGAGCTGCACAAACGGGACTGTAGGAGCTTCTTTACTTCTTTTATTCCTGAGGATCTCTTTCAGGAGATGTTGAAAGATCTGGAGAAGTTACCTGCAGGAGGCATCCACACTGAATATTCTGGGTCATCCTGTGGATACTCTCCTGTCAGCTGGACTGGGGGCTGAGGAGACACCAGGAAGACATCAGTTCATGCTGAGTCCAGTGTGTGCGCGTGTGTGTGCGCGTGTGTGTGTGTGTGTGTGTGTGTGTGTGGGGGGGGGGGGGCCTACTCTGCTGGGGCCCATCATGCGTTTCTTCTTTTTGGGACTGGGGTCTGCAGCTGGCTCTGCGTCGCCCCCTGCCTTCAGGTCTGTGGACACAGGTGAAAACAGTAAAGGTGAATCCAACATGCAACAGTTTTATAAATAAAGTTTGATCTGGTTGGAAAAAACATCGTTTACACAAACGACATTATTTTATTCAACAATAAAGGATTTAACAGCAAAGTGCTCAAAGGAATTACTTCTAATTTACGTTTCTGTTTTTATTTTCACTAAAGTGGATTTTCTCTTAAATGTAAACAATTATTTGGGGATGATAAAGATTTTTAGACCAAAGGGGTTGTATCGACTAGTCGACTTCACTGCTCTGTAGTGACGTTTTATGCCTTGCATAGACTAGTCGCTGTCACGTGATAATGATGAACAAGATGCAGTCCTCGGAAAAGACAGCAGGTGATGAGCCCCTGCGCGTTGGGAGGCGACGCGCTGTGCCAGAGCGTCGGTGTCTGACGCCCGCCATAAAATGGACATTTGACCGAATTGTGACCTTTACCCTCTTGCAATTTAACCTTCCCCTCACCCCCATCCTAACCTTAACCAGCTTGCGCATGCAAAGCTCTGATCGTTGACACGCTCCAGACATCTGCGTCCTGAGCACGGCCACAGTAACGTTATCAAATTAGGTGTCGCTACCTCGTCATCGTCATCTTCCTCCGGTTATCCGGGTCCGGGTCGCTGGGGCAGCATCCCAACTAGGGAGCTCCAGACCGTCCTCTCCCCGGCCACCTCCACCAGCTCCTCCGGCAGGACCTCTCCAACGTGTCCTGGGTCGACCCGGGGGCCTCCTGCCGGCAGGACATGCCTGAAACACCTCCCCAGGGAGGCGTCCAGGAGGCATCCTGACCAGATGCCCAAACCACCTCAACTGACTCCTTTCGATCCGGAGGAGCAGCGGTTCTACTCCGAGTCCCTCCCGAATGTCCGAGCTCCTCACCCTATCTCTAAGGCTGAGCCCGGCCACCCTACGGAGGAAACTCATTTCGGCCGCTTGTATCTGCGATCTCGTTCTTTCCGTCATTACCCAAAGCTCATGACCATAGGTGAGGATTGGGACGTAGATCGACTGGTAAATCGAGAGCCTGGCTTTCTGGCTCAGCTCCCTCTTCACCACGACAGATCGGCTCAGCATCCGCATCACTGCAGACGCCGAACCAATCCGCCTGTCGATCTCCCGATCCCTCCTACCCTCACTCGTGAACAAGACCCCAAGATACTTAAACTCCTCCGCTTGAGGTAGGACCTCTCCCCCGACCCGGAGTTGGCAAGCCACCCTTTTCCTGTCGAGAACCATGGTCTCAGATTTGGAGGTGCTGATCCCAGCTGCTTCACACTCGGCCACGAACCTACCCAGCAAGAAATGAAGGTCAGAGCTGGATGAAGCTTGGAGGACCACATCAACCGCAAAAAGCAGAGACGAGATTCTCCAGCCACCAAACTCGACACACTCCACACCACGGCTGCGTCTAGAAATTCTGTCCATAAAGGTAATGAACAGAACCGGTGACAAAGGGCAGCCCTGGCGGAGTCCAGCCCTCACCGGGAACATGTCTGACTTACTACCGGCTATGCGGACCAAACTTACGCTCCTCTGGTAAAGGGACGGAATGGCCCTTAACAGAAAGCCACCCACCCCATCCTCCTGGACAGTCACCCATAGGGTGCCCCTGGGAACACGGTCATAAGCCTTCTCCAAATCCACAAAACACATGTGGATTGGCTGGGCATACTCCCATGCCCCCTCCATCACCCTTGCAAGGGTATAGAGCTGGTCCACAGTTCCATGGCCAGGACGAAAACCACATTGCTCCTCCTCAATCTGAGATTCATCTATCGATCGGACCCTCCTCTCCAGTACCTTGGAGTAGACCTTTCCAGGGAGGCTGATCCCCCTATAGTTGGAACACACCCTCAGGTCACCCTTCTTAAAGATGGGGACCACCACCCCGGTCTGCCACTCCACAGGAACTGCCCCCGACGACCACGCAATGTTGCAGAGACGTGTCAACCATGACAGCCCTACAACATCCATAGCCTTGCGATACCCAGGACGAATATCATCCGCCCCCGGCGCTCCACCGCTGTGTAGTTGTTTGACTACCTCAGCAACTTCTGCCCCCGAGATTGGACAGTCCATCCCCAGGTCTCCCGGCTCTGGTTCCTCCTCGGAATGTGCGTAGGTGGGATTGAGGAGCTCCTCAAAGTATTCCTTCCACCGTCCAACTATAGCCCCGGTTGACGTTAGCAGCTCCCCATCCCCAAAGTAAACAGTGTGAGCGAGTTGCTGCCTTCCTCTCCTGAGGCGCCGGACAGTTTGCCAGAACCTCTTTGGAGCCGATCGATAGTCTTTCTCCATGGCCTCAACAAACTCCTCCCACGCCTGAGATTTTGCCTCGGCAACTGCCACTGCTGCACCCCGCTTGGCTATCCGGTACCTGTCTGCTGCCTCCGGAGACCCACAGACCAGCCACGCCCTGTAGGCCTCCTTCTTCAGCCTGACAGCTCCCCGAACTTCTGGTGTCTATCAGCGGGTACGGGGGTTGCCACCACGACTGGCACCGGCCACGTAGCGACCACAGCTAGTGACAGCCGCCTCAACAATCGCAGAGTGGAACAAGGCCCACTTGGAGTCAATGTCCCCCACTGCTCTCGGGACGCGGTCAAAGCTTTGCTGGAGGTGGGAGTTGAAGATCGTCTTGACAGGTTCTTTTGCCAGGTGTTCCCAGCAGACCCTCACCATGCGTCTGGGTCTGCCAGGTCTACGCGGCATCTTCCCCTGCCATCTGATCCAACTCACCACCAGGTGGTGATCAGTTGACAGCTCCGCTCCTCTTTTCACTCGGGTGTCCAAAACATACGGCCGCAGGTCAGATGATACGACTACAAGGTCTATCATCGACCTGCGACCTAGGCTGCCCTGGCACCAAGTGTACCGATGGGCATCCTTATGTTCAAACATGGTGTTCGTTGTGGCCAAACTGCGTCTTGCACAGAAGTCCAATAACGAAACACCACTCGAGTTCAGATCAGGTGGGCCGTTCCTCCCAATCACACCCCTCCAGGTCACGCTGTCATTGCCCATGTGATCATTAAAGTCCCCCAGCAGGACAATGGAGTCCCCTGATGGAGCACTATCTAGCACTCGTCCCAGGGACTCCAAAAAGGGTGGGTACTCTGAACTGATATTTGGCCCATAAGCACAAACAACAGTCAGAACCCGTTCCCTGACCCGAAGGCGCAGGGAAGCTACCCTCTCGTCCCCCGGGGTAAACCCCAACACACAGGCAGAGAGTCTTGGGGCTAACAAAAAGCCAACCCCAGCCCTCCGCCTCTCACCCGGAGCAACTCCAGCAAAGGAGAGTGTCCAACCCCTCTCAAGGACTTGGGTTCCAGAGCCAATGCTATGTGTCGAGGTGAGTCCGACTACATCTAGCCGGTACCGCTCAACCTCTGCCACAAGCTCCTGCTCCTTCCCCGCCAGCGAGGTGACGTTCCATGTCCCAAAAACCAGTTTTCTTGTCTGGGGATCGGACCGCCAAGGCTCCCGCCTTGGTCTGCCACCCGATCCACACTGCACCGGACCCTTCATGTTCCTCCTGCGGGTGGTGGGTCCATAGATGGATGAGCCCATCTATCCGGTTCAGGCTGGGCCCGGCCGGGCCTCATGGTCGAAAGCCCGGCCACCAGGCGCTCGCCCACAGGCCCCAACCCCAGGCCTGGCTCCAGGGTGGGACCCCGGTAACCCTCCGGGCCGGGTACTCCGACTCTTTGATTGTATATCCATGAAAGATCCTCTGAACCGTTCTTTGTCTCACCCTTCACCTAAGACCAATTTGTCATGGGAGACCCTACCAGGGGCACAAAGTGCCCCAGACAACATAGCTCCTAGGATCATTGGGGCACTCAAACTCCTCCACCACGATAAGGTGACGGTTCAAGGAGGTGTCACCACCTCAAAAACAAATTTAACACGCGATCATTCATGTCGGCTCATTTCCTATTATGTTTTCTGTCTTTTCTTTTTGTGCCTGATGTGTTTCGCTGCTGTGGAGCGGAGCACATCACTTGTTCTGTCCTCCAGTGACACACCTCACTAGTGCAGCCGGTGTGCACCCCCCTGTTTTTGCGGTCGGTAGATCTTTTAGAACTGCAGTTCAAAGGTAACTCATAAATCCAGGTAGCAGTTTTTCTTTAGGATTGAGAGGAGATGCAAGAAGATAATAAACAGGCAGGACAGAAAAATAGTCAAATAAAAACAAGCTAGTTTTTGTACCTGCTGGTTGCAACAAACAGACACCAATGAAGGTAATCAGAAGTGAGGTTACAGAAAATGAAATAATTATTTTAATGTTTAGAGCAGCAGGAACTCCGAGAGGCTGCAGGCGCATCAGTGAGTAACCCCAAGATTCCACTAGCTCCGCTCCGCCCCGCCTTCCGCAGCCGCTCGCTTCCAAACTCAATTTTTACTGGTAACCGCTCTACAACGGCTCCGCCCCGGTGCGGAGACCTGAGGTGCGCAAACAGGCATGTGCGGGATTTTCGAGATCTTGCGATACAGTCCGAGCAATAAACGCGGAAGTTAGATCCAAACACCCGTTGTGTGGGAGAAGCATCGACATGAACTGTTCAATCTGCCCATCACTTGTGTTGAGAGATCAGCAGTGTTTGGATCAACAAAGGGTGACTACTTTGTTAGTGGAAACTGTATTTATGGCTTATTTTTATGCATTTAAAGTTCAGCCGCCATTGATAGTTGTTAAAAGTTGTTAAACCTGTTCATATGAAACAAAAAACGCTTTTTGTTTATCGATTTATTGTGAAATAACGGAAGTTGTGCTTGCTCCCTTTCCTGTTGGGCGGTTGTGATTTCTGTCCATTGACTGCGGAGGTGCTCCGGCGTCCGGCAAAAATAGAATCGATCCTATTTTGCCGGACGCCGGAACGGCGGGCGGCGCACTGCGCCGCATGGCCGCAGTAGTGGAACAGCTCTGATTGACTACAACGGGACCGATTTTGCCGCGGAGTTTGTGCCGGAGCGCAGCGGAGCGGAGGTAGTGGAATTTTGGGGTTAGCGGCCGCTGCGCAGGGGGAGAGGGCTGAAGCAGGGGGATGGGGGCGGGCTGAAGCAGGGGGATGGGGGAGGGCTGAAGCAGGATGCAGAAACCACCGTTGTTAAAAGAAATGTGTTAACTTAGAAAATGTGGACGTAATTTTAATTGTCAAAAACTCCGGCAAACCCGCTTCAGGTGTATGACGTCATCAACGACTAGTCAAAGTCAACTCGATTTTCATTACTTGACTGTCGACTTTAAAAAAAATGAAGTCATGCAGCCCCTAATAGACAACAGGTTAAAAGTCATCACAAAGGGTCTTAAATAGGATTATTGATTTAATTATTTCAAAGATAATGATTAAAATGACTCGTCCAGATATTAAGGACCCAAACAAAAACAACACGGTGAATTCCGGCTCCTTTAAGTTTGGACTTTTATTTCAGCTCTTGTAACAAAAACCTCTAAAAAGTGTTTGGTTTCTGCTTCTTCACCAGAGAGGGTTTCTAAACTTATGTTTATGATGCAAAAACAATTATTTTTGTTCAGAATCTGATGATTTTTCACAGATGAACGCTCAGCCTGATGTCCCACCTGGTTTATTACAAGTTAACTCACATTAAAATGATTTGACACCATTTTTCCTGAACGCACGTCCAAGCACATCTACTTAGATCTTTGTTCACCCTTGTCCCTCCCAGGACCATCATATGACTGGGGTTTGGGCGTCTTAACTGCTGCTCGTTTAGGAGGACGGGCAAACATGGAGACCCACCTGGACTTGGAGGGGTTACCGACTTCCTGCTGCTCACGCAGGCTTGCTGCTCCGCTTCATCGCTTCTCTTCGGTTTGTGGATTTTTTCTGATAAACAAGCAGAAATAAAATCTGGAAGTTCTAAACTTTAACATCAGAGCGTTCACAGCCTTTCCACACAGCACTGCCACCTAGTGGTAGAACATCCCAGCTGATCTTTTAGGAGGAACCTTCTCACCTTTGACCTCCGAGGACTCTTCTTTCAAAGGAGTGTTCTCCTCAGATATGGGTGCACTGAACTCTTCTTCATCAGCTTTAGACTCAGCGATGCTACATTCATCTCCATCTTTATTTATCCCAGCTTCTTCCTCCTCCTCCTCCTCCTCCCCACCAGGCGGAAGCTCTTTCATGTTGAAGAGCTCTGCAGGCAGGCTGGGCCTCTTGGGAGGCAGCTTCTGCAGGTGGGAAAAGCGTGAGCAGCAGGTAACCGAGACTGACTCTAGGAGTACCTTCATCTTTCTGGATCACCCACCCCGATGGTCCCGGTCTTCAGTTTAAACTTGCTTCCTCCCTTCATGGCTCCAAACAGCGGTAAGGTTTTTTTAGGCTTCTCTCCCTCTGAGCTCCCACTTTCACAACAACACAAAATAACTTTAAGTGGACTTAAGATTTTTGTATTTAAAGGAGGTCGTAAGCACGCCGCCGAAACCTCACCCGGGGAGAAGTGAGGGCATCTGCGCCGGCCGCGTCAGGTCCACCAGTTTACGAAGCCTCTGCGCCTCTTTACGCAGGTCAGCCACGTGCACGTGAAGCTTCCTGCGCTCCACAGCGTCCATCGATGCCTCGCTTCTCACCGCTGTCATGAAGGCGTCCAGCGAGTCCTCGGTGGAGGAGGACGAAGAGTCTGCAGAGAGTCAAAGTTGAGCCCCCACACACAGAAGCCTTTAAAGCTGTCTGCAGGTGGTGGCCCGTGACGCACCTTGTCTACCAGTGTTGAGTTTTCTCTGCGTGTCTGCCAGCTCCGTTTCCACTGCAGACAGCTTGGCCACCTGCAGGACAGAAAAACACGTTTAAGTTACCTCCGCCAGGACGGCTCTGGCTGGCGTAACTAAAAAGGAACGTGTGAGGAATTATTTGCACTATTTCCCTGTTTCAGAGCAGATATTTGGGTATTAGAACAGGAATAAGTTTTTTCAGCAAAACATAAAGAAGTGAAAAAGATCAGAACTTTTACACAGGACTCCACTCAACTGGATGAAAAGCACAAGAATTTCTTCTCTTAAACCTTTTCAGCTTTTTAAAAACCGCTTTCTTTAACATTCCCGCGCTCTGTGGCACCACCAGACATGTTTACCAAAGACTCGTAGGTGTCGGGCCGCTCCTCAAGCTTTCCCGCCTTCTTCATCCGCTCCTGCCTCTTCTTCTCCACAGTCCCGGTACGATCCAGAAAGGTGTCATCGTCGCTGTCGTAGTAGTCCTCATCCTCCCAGTTCTTCTTCCTCCTCTTACGGGACACTAAAATCACCACATCTCTGAGTACAATAACAAGTCTCGCTCTCGTGGAGCATTCTCTCCAAGCTGAGTTTACCTGCTTCCTGTCGCAGCAGCCCTCTGGCCTCCAGCATCCGACAAGCCTCGAGGCAGCACTGGACAGCTGCCTCCTTCTTCTTCCCTGTGTGGGTTACCTCGGCAACCAGCTGACGCCCCGCTGCATCATCCACCGGCAGCCTGGTGAACAAACATAAACGTTAAAGATTTTCCTTAATGAATTTCATTAAAGATTTGAAAAGACTTACTTTATTCTACAGAGCCACGTGCCGTGGTTTTTGTCTTCATACTCAAACTCCAGCTCCTCTCCTGAGATGCAGATGCTCGGATTAGAAACAACATTCAAAAATAAGAAACAGGACGAGTCTGCAGAGTCTCACCCTCTCTGTCATAGAACCCCTGCAGAGCTTTCTTTGGGTCTTTCAGATACGCCGCTTCCTGGTCTTCAAGGAACTCCGTAGAAAAGGGGTTTTCCTCATTCTCATCTTCCTCTGGAGCTGCCTCTTCATCTGCATGAGGAATTTGTGGGTGCAGAGGGATCACAACGAGAGCCGATGATTTAAACCGAATCTCAACTAAAAACCAAACGTCATAAAGTCAAGGAGGTCCGCTCACCCATCCCCCATGTGCAGCCTGAATCGACTTTTTTGCTTTGAGCCTTGGTGCTCCCTTCCTCCCTAACCTCCTCCTCTTCCTCCTCTCCGTCAGAAAGGTTTCCCATCATCCTTTTCTCCAGCTCTGCTCTCTGTTTGCGAGCTCGCTCCCTCAGCTCTGTCACCGTCAGCTCAGACTCCTCTTCCTCATCAAACTCTGGACCCTGTGAAGGAAATGGAGAGCTCCTTATGTTAGAGCGGCTTCTGAGGGGTACTACAGGAATACATTTATTTTTCCACATCACATAAAGGAACGGGGGATATGTAGAGATGATCTCGTTTCACAGTGAAGAACTCACTCTTCCAAGATGATGATACACAAACAGCATTTAAACCAGAGGTGCCCAAAGTGTGGCCCTTGGGCCATTTGTGGTTCCAGGAGGGCCTTTGTGCGGCCCTCGACTGAAGATCCAGAATGATAAAACTTTAGATGTGCATGCAGAGTGTTCAAATGTAAATTAGCTTAAAACTACTCAACATTCAATCTCAATCATTCACGGTTTCTGAGACCCACCTGCAGGACAAACAGCCGAGTACTCCCCCCAAACTTCAAAACGTGACCCACATGCAGCCTGACGTAGGTCTTCGGGGGGACTTTGTTTTTGTTTACCACCGTGCCATGCGTGCTGCCCAGGTCATGAATGTAAAAGCCCCTCTCCTCTCCCACACAGCCCTCCTCTCCAGATTGTCCCCGAAACTGGATCACTGCATGGTACCTGGAGATGGACGGATGCTCCAGGGACACGTGGCACACTGGCAGACGTCCAACTACAAAGTAGCTGCTGTGAGTGAGGGGGACTGTGTCCACTATAGTGCCGTTTTTAAGGATTTCCAGTGAGTAGGGGATGTCTGACGGAGGGCCCCCCCAGGGCGGCTCTGTGTACGGGAGAGGGGGGAACTTTCCAGCTTTGACAGGAGCCACCTCCGGTTTAAATTCCTGTCTCCGCTCTTTTACAGTACTTTCGTCTAGTTTTTGTGTTTTTTCCAGTATTTTACTGTCACCGGCAGCATCAGACGTTGTCTCCTCGGGTCTGTCTGCAACACGGCTCTTCTGTTGGCATCCTGGCTCGGCTGTTGAGGCGACGCGTTTGTTGGGAGGAACTGCGAACATGGCTGGTTTCTTGAACGGATCCACCGTCTCGCTACTTCCAGACGTTTCTTCTTCTTTGCGTTTGTCTCCATTTTCAGGCGCTAAACTGTCCTCGGTTTTCACTTCAGAGCTGTTTTCTTCGTCCATATTCCTCACGTCTGTAATCGGGGACGCGGCCATGTTTGTTTGGTGCAACTGTAAAATGAGTTCGTACGAAATAATTTAGTAAACATGACACAACGCCTCCACACCGGAAGAAAACGAAGCTAAAATTATATCTAAAATAGTAATAATAATTTTTTTCAAAATTTAAGAGTAAATTATTTCGTTTAGCTGGATAAAATGGAAGCGGAAATAATAATTGTCAAGTCAGAAACCGGGTTGTTTATCAGCAAGGACCTAGACGCGGAAGCAGTCGCAGTTTAGCTTCCGTCAGACTGAATAGAAATATTTACCGTAATTTTGTCATTTGGTGGGTAAGTGCCGCATTTTATCATATCTATTTATGATTTATCAATTAGAATTACCCTAAAATATGCATAATTTTATAGTTATTGGTTTCTTTCTTTCTTTTTCTACAGCAATCTCGATACCGTTCACGTTAAATCCTGTACCGCCAAACCCTCGTCAGATTTGTGATTTTTCAAGAGTTGCTCAGTATTTTCATCCATCAGGTTTCATTTTTTGGAATTGATCCTTAACTCAAACGAATGCATTTGAAAATCGTGCCATTCGGCATGCATACACTATTATTATTTGTAATATTTAACACGTTGTATGCAGGCCATTTTCCAGTGCTATTCGAATTTGTGCCATTTTTTATTTCTAGGATCTTTGAGATGCAATCAAACGATCACGAGTCTTTTAGCGAATGATTCAGTATTTTTCCATTTTCCACGTTGCTCCGGTGTTAATTTAGACTGATTGGTTGATTTTTGGCGTCACGCGCTTTTAAATTTACCGGAATCCGCAGAAAAGAGAAAATAATGCAGGTTTAAATTGGTTTTTGTGCGTTTATTTAGGTTTTATTATTTAAGTTTTGATTTACACTTGAATTGTTGGAAGTCTGAGAAATGCCCTATTGAGTTGATCATGGTGGCTGTTGTCTTGACTTTACAACACAAGTATTATAGTAATTACAGTAAACAGTAATTCGGTGTAAAGGAGTTTTGAGTCAGTTATTAAGTAGAAAAAACAACTTCAGAATAGTTTTGTGTTTGATATTTTTCATTGACAATTTCTCTTCTCTCCAAGCTTACATCACCCGCCATTATGATGCAGTACTGGGGTGAGATCCCTGGCCCCTCAGGGGCTCCTCCCAGTCGTAGCTCCTTTGACTTGCTTCAGAGAGAGTTTCGTTCCGTGGAGATGCAAGACCCTCCTCTCCACCAGCCATCAGCCCAGCGCCCGCGCCCCACCACAATGCTGGACATCCCCTCAGAGCCGTGCAGCCTCACCATCCACACGGTGCAGCTGTGCCAGCACGCTCGTCGTCTCCGCGCTCTTCTGGCGGCGGCCCAGGGTCAGGGCCAGAGCTCTACATCCTCTGAGGGTGGCAGCCGGCTGCAGGAAGCTGATCCCAACTTGCCTCTCCGTCCCCCCACCCCCCCTGTTGTGCCAGATGATCTGCTCCCTGTAGACAGCAAAGCTCCCAGCCAGCCCTTTCAGCTTCGTCATAGTGACCCTGAGAGTGAATTCTTTAAGTAAGCTCGAGTTTGTTACCACTCTTTTTGACTTTAAGTCGACTTCATTTCTATTCAAGAAGTCAAACTTTTGACAAGTTCAAGCAAAACACCAAGGAGATTCAATAGTTTACAATTTTTTGCACAATTTATCAGACTTACACTTGCTCTGGTTTCCACACATTTCAGAGGTAAAGGCGAACCTGTCACAGAGCTGAGCTGGCCATCCTGCAGGCAGCTCCTCTATCAGTCAGTGGCCACAGTGCTGGCCCATGCCGGCTTTGAGTCTGCCCAGGAAAGTGTGCTGGAGACCTTCACCGACCTAGTCCATGAGCACTACCTGCGTGTCACCAACCTGCTCAGAGTGGCGGTGGACCGTGAGGCGAGGCTGGGAGCCAGTCCCTTCCCAGACGTGGTAGAGCAGGTTTTTCACGAGGTGGGCATCGGCAGCGTGCTGGGCCTACAGCGCTTCTGGCAAGTTAGGATCAAAGACTACCACACCTACATGCTGCAGGTGATTTTCAGAGGCTCATCCGTTTGATTGTTTCTAGTCATCCAGATTCAGCGTTTGCATTTCTGAACAGCAGAATCAAGTCTGTAATTCTTTTAATTCCAGGTAACTAAGGACCTGTCGGAGGAGTATGAGCGGCTGGTGAATCCGGAGAAGGTTCTTGAAGACACCAAGTCTCCAAAAATCAAGGATGAGGCCATAAGTGACATCCCTGATAGCGAACAGCCTGAGGCCGACCCGGCCTCTGGGGACCAGGCTTTGCCGATGGGAGTGCTAGGAGCCCACGCAGAGAGGCCGTCTTCTGGCCTGGATGTGGACCACTCTCCCCATACCTCAGGTAAGGCCACTGCTTTCTTCATCTGGGTATAAATGAATAATCTAATAGACATTTGCAATGAAATGATAACAAGTAAACTTTGGTACTTTTATTGAAAATGACTGCAAATGTGTTTAAATGCTCTCATGAGGTGGAGGCGGAGCCAACAACTCTCCTCTGTGGCCCCAAGTAAAGATGGAACCTCAGGACAGCGAGGAAGGCCAAAGCGTTGGCCATCATCACCATCATCATCACCACCATGGGGTTCTAGGTGGAGATGTGTTTGAAGAGGGAGGGCCCATGTCCACCATGAGCGAGTCCGGAGGAGCCATGGCTCCGTCCCCCAGCGGCGTCGCGTCTGAAGGCAGCTACGCCTCACACTCGCCCGACTCCCTGATGGGAACATCACCCGTCTTCAACCAGAGACCCAAAAAACGGATGAAAAAGCTGTAAAGAGACTCGAGTTGTTATTTTCATATTTACGTCCCATCAGTGGGAAAAATAGACTTTAAGACTAAAGCGATGAAAGTCGTGAACTCAAGCGCCACGGCGAGAGGCTTCATCGTTTTTCTACGTAGATATTTTTGGAGTTTATGAACAAATAAACATTTTGTGACGTGCCATTTGTGTTTTTAGTCTTTAATAGTTATCAAATACTAGACAAGGAGTCTGACGTAGTGTAGTGACTATCAAGTCCCACTTTTAGTCACCCTCGGGTGCGGGTGGAGGCAATGACTCGCTTCAACAATATTGTCCAGGCAGAAAGCGGGTTTGGGTTTATTGTCCCATTTATTGAATATGATGACGATCACAAGCTGGGTCCACAATGGCTATTTCTTGTCCAGGTTTATGTAAATGATGAAAGTTATAACGGCAAATTAGATGTGGCATATGAAACCAAACGAAGCGGTAAAAACCGTGTGACCTCCCGTCACCCACAAAACGCCAGTGCACTGCAGCCTCAACACCTTTATAGGCTCCGCAGTGCCACCAGTGGTCAAAGGAAATACAAACCATAGTGCAATAAACTGAAATGTACATAAAACATTATCAAAATAAATTTAGACCATAATATAATCTAAACCAAAACAATAATGGCTCCTACACGTAGCACCAAGTAACGACAGCTGTGGCGATCTCTGAAGGAAAGAGCTGAAAGTCGTTCCATGTTATGGAACTGGGATCCAGCCTTTAGTAACTAACATGAAACGCTTGACTTGTAACTTGGTAATTATAGTCGTGCCCATAGTGCGGACGATTAAGTGGACAGAGCTTCAATAACCTACCTTGATTGGCCACGTGCACAAGCGAGGAGAGAAAATAACTGAAAACTGTAATTCTCAAATAAAACATTTCTCATTAACTCAGAAATAAACACGTTTGCAGCCTCGTGCAAAACATGTTCGGTTTAATGGATCTAGTTTACATTCATGACAACTCGGGGTGATTGTTTTGTTACTCATCCGTTTAGGTGTTAGAGCTAAAAAGGCCGAGGACAGCAGAGTGGCTCCACCTGTCCAAAAGCACCCGCCGACCTCTGTTAGCTTCGTTGACCTCAGTTAGCTCGTGGCTACATCAGCTCAGCATGATGGGTATCAATCACCCCGCCCCTCTTACAGCCCTGCTCTCAGGTCCATTTTTGTATTTTCCGGGAGTGACGAGACATGACGCAGCCAAGAGGGTGGTGGTGGGAACCGTCCACAGGTGACGGGGTGGGGTTTCTTCTAGGATAGGGACAGCAGCAGCTCAGGAGGTAGAGCAGGTTGTCCAGTAATGGGAAGGTTGCAGGTTTGATCCCGGCTCCAACCAGAGAATGCTGCTGTTGTGTCCTTGGGCACGACACTTAACCCACATTGCCTGTTGGTGGTGGTCAGAGGGACCGGTGGTGCCTGTGTACAGCGGGCCCCGCCTCCATCAGAGCGCCCCAGGGCAACTGTGGCCATATCGTAGCTCCTCGCTCCAACGTGTGAATGTGTGGATGACTGATGGTGCTGTGAAGCGCCCTGGGGGGGTTGTAGACCCTAAGAAGGTGCTACACACATACAGGCCATTTACCATCTTTAAGTCCCACCTGTCATTCAAAAACATGGTTTCTCAAACTGGCCAAGATCCCGTCCTCCTGCCACGGCACACTAGGATGCATTTCCGACTTCCTGTTCCCTCGCTGCAGCACTCCTCTCAAACGTCTTAAATACAGTGGAACAAGTCACACTCCTGCCAACCTGAAGCAGCTTCAACACATTAGCATCTGTTTCAGTAATGAGGCAGAGCTGTGGATGCAATACCAGAAGCAATTATGGCCTGGTTGTTTGCATCACGGAGGCAACATCAATCCAGCCTTAATGGAGAATTAATTATGCCGCGCATAACTCTGCATCCTGACTGAGCAGGCCTGAGTGAATGCAGGTGATTTTTCTTTTCTGTGGATTTCTTTCATTCTCACAATTGGACGGGTAATTGTCTGCTCCTCCAGAAAGTGCTGATGGTGGTCATTTATATCGATATTCGGTTAGCTGTGTTGATTTATGTTTTCGGCAGTGCTGTCTGAGCCAGAAGATGAAAAATAAACTTGTGTACTGATAAAATATATTCAGTGTATATATATATATATATATATATATATATATATATATATATATATATATATATATTTATATACACACACACATATACATGTACACATACATACATACGTGTGTGTGTGTGTGTGTGTGTATATAAATATGTATATATATATATATATATATACATATTTATATACACACACACATATACATGTACACATACATACATACGTGTGTGTGTGTGTGTGTACACCAGGACGAAAACCACATTGCTCCTCCTCAATCTGAGATTCAACTATCGATCGGACCCTCCTCTCCAGTACCTTGGAGTAGACCTTTCCAGGGAGGCTGAGGAGTGTGATCCCCCTATAGTTGGAACACACCCTCAGGTCACCCTTCTTAAAGATCGGGACCACTACCCCGGTCTGCCACTCCACAGGAACTGCCCCCGATGACCACGCAATGTTGCAGAGACGTGTCAACCATGACAGCCCTACAACATCCATAGCCTTGAGATACCCAGGACGAACCTCATCCGCCGCTGTGTAGTTGTTTGACTACCTCAGCAACTTCTGCCCCTGAGATTGGACAGTCCATCCCCAGGTCTCCCAGCTCTGGTTCCTCCTAGGAATGCACGTAGGTGGGATTGAGGAGCTCCTCAAAGTATTCCTTCCACCATCCAACTATAGCCCCAGTTGACGTCAGCAGCTCCCCATCCCCACTGTAAACAGTGTGAGCGAGTTGCTGCCTTCCTCTCCTGAGGCGTCGGACAGTTTGCCAGAACCTCTTTGGAGCCGATCGATAGTCTTTCTCCATGGCCTCACCAAACTCCTCCCACGCCCGAGATTTTGCCTCGGCAACTGCCACTGCTGCACCCCGCTTGGCTATCCGGTACCTGTCTGCTGCCTCCGGAGACCCACAGACCAGCCACGCCCTGTAGGCCTCCTTCTTCAGCCGGACGGCTCCCCGAACCTCTGGTGTCCACCAGTGGGTACGGGGGTGCCACCACGACTGGCACCGGCCACCTTGCGACCACAGCTAGCAACAGCCGCCTCAACAATAGCAGAGTGGAACAAGGCCCACTTGGAGTCATTGTCCCCCACTGCTCTCGGGACGCGGTCAAAGCTCTGCCGGAGGTGAGAGTTGAAGATCGTCTTAACAGGTTCTTCTGCCAGGCATTCCCAGCAGACCCTCACTATGCGTTTGGGTCTGCCAGGTCTACGCGGCATCTTCCCCTGCCATCTGATCCAACTCACCACCAGGTGGTGATCAGTTGACAGCTCCGCTCCTCTCTTCACTCGGGTGTCCAAAACATACGGCCGTAGGTCAGATGATACGACTACAAGGTCTATCATCTACCTGCGACCTAGGCTGCCCTGGTACCAAGTGTACCGGTGGGCATCCTTATGTTCGAACATGGTGTTCGTTGTGGCCAAACTGCGGCTTGCACAGAAGTCCAATAACGAAACACCGCTCGAGTTCAGATTAGGTGGGCCGTTCCTCCCAATCACACCCCTCCAGGTCAAGCTGTCATTACCCACGTGAGCATTGAAGTTCCCCAGCAGGACAATGGAGTCCCCTGATGGAGCACTATCTAGCACTCATCCCAGGGACTCCAAAAAGGGTGGGTACTCTGAACTGATATTTGGCCCATAAGCACAAACAACAGTCAGAACCCGTTCCCCGACCCGAAGGCGCAGGGAAGCTACCCTCTCGTCCCCCGGGGTAAACCCCAACACACAGGCAGAGAGTCTTGGGGCTAACAAAAAGCCAACCCCAGCCCTCCGCCACTCACCCGGAGCAACTCCAGCAAAGGAGAGTGTCCAACCCCTCTCAAGGACTTGGGTTCCAGAGACAATGCTATGTGTCGAGGTGAGTCCGACTATATCTAGCCGGTACCGCTCAACCTCTGCCACAAGCTCCGGCTCCTTCCCCGCCAGCGAGGTGACGTTCCATGTCCCAATAACCAGTTTTCTTGTCCAGGGATCGGACCGCCAAGGCTCCCGCCTTCGTCTGCCACCCGATCCACATTGCACCGGACCCTTCATGTTCCTCCTGCGGGTGGTGGGTCCACAGATGGATGAGCCAATCTATCCGGTTCGGGCTGGGCCCGGCCGGGCCCCATGGGTGAAAGCCCGGCCACCAGGCGTTCGCTCACGGGCCCCAGTCCTAGGCCTGGCTCCAGGGTTGGACCCCGGTAACCCTCCGGGCCGGGTACTCAGACTTTTTGAATTTACATTCATGAAAGATCCTCTGAACCGTTCTTTGTCTCACCCTTCAGCTAAGACCAATTTGTCATGGGAGACCCTACCAGGGGCACAAAGTGCCCCAGACAACATAGCTCCTAGGATCATTGGGGCACTCAAACTCCTCCACCACGATAAGGTGACGGTTCAAGGAGGAGGATAGTTACATACATACGTGTGTGTGTGTGTGTATGTGTATATATATATATATATATATATATATATATATATACATAAATATATTGTTATTTTTTAATAACCAAGACACAAATGTAAATCAAAAATTTTCACAAACTCCCAGAAATTATACGCAGTTCATGAATATAAATTAATTTGTGGCCATGCTGTCAGGATGGCGGTTCCTTATAGTCTACATCCAACCATCCATCCATGGTAACAGAAGGAAAACCAAGACATCCCTTTCCCCAGCAACATTTCCTAGCTCCTGTGGGATCCAAAGGCACTCCCATATGTTTTATTTTTTATGCGTTTATTAGTTTCACAGCGACGCAGGGGACTGTTCTGTTCTGGCTGACCATCAACTGCTACTGGATCGGCTGAGAGACTGGGTAGGCCTATCAGGAACTTCTTTGGAGTGGTTCTCCTCTTATCCTGAGTGTTCCATCTCCGTCTATCTCCAAGTTTTGGCTCTCCTCCACCTCCCTCACCCATGATGTACCACAAAGTCCTGTGTTGGGACTTCTACTGTTCCTCCTATAACTGCTCCCACTCCAGCATATCCTGAACTCCTTAACAGGAATCTCCTAACATCTTTATGCAGATGACATCCAACTGTATAATGAAAGGAGAA